GCTAGATGTTGCAGGGCCCCATCTGACTGGGCGGAGAAGGGTGGGGGGGAAGGGGGGGGCGGGCAGCCCAATCAAGCCCTGACTGGCCCAGCCCCATGGGAGAAAGGAGGCATGGCCTGGCCCCAACCTGGCCATGTGGAAGAAAGGGAGCACGAGTAGAGTGACCATCTGTCCCAGCTTAGCCAGGACAGTCCCGGACTTAAGAAGCCAGTCCTCACTGGCTGAGAATTATACTGTGCATCCCAAAAATGGCATGGAGTGATGCAACCCAGCTTGCTAACAGCAGGCAGGCCTGGAAGTCCCAGTTGTCCGGGGTCTCCCTACAGTCAGCCTAGGCATGGGCTGGCCCCACGTGGAGTGTGGAAGCACAGCCTGGCACCAAACCAGTCATGTTGCTGGGTGTGGCCCAGTTCTAACCTGGCTGGAAAGAGGGAAAGGGGGATAGTATGGCCCAGCCCTGCAGGGAGGAGGGAGGGGGCATGGCTCAGCCTCATGGGGATAAGTGGGTGCAGCCCAGCCCCAAGCCAGCTTTACAGAGGGAAAGGGGCATGGCCTGGCTCTGATCTGGCCATGCAGGGGAAGGATCATGGCCCACCTTCACCCAGCCCTGCAAGACTTGGAATTTGGGTATCAGGAATGGATGGCAGTATTAACTGCCACTGTTCTCCTGTCACCAAATTTCCCAGTCAATGGGGAGTCCCGTGTGCCAGATTCCAAGGCTCCACAGGCCACTTTTGGCCTGCAAGTGAGAGGTTAAGTATCCTTGCTCTAGAACATACTCCATAATTATACTTTCTACTAATATCTAACAGATAACAAGCAGGTATTGTAATATAATAGGCTTAAGTGAGAAGTCAAATGCTACACACAGATGGTGATGTTTCCAAATACCATTTTTCCAGGGAAAAGTCTGATAAAACTGTCAGTTATCTGGACAGCTAATCCTAATACCTCAGAAGAGATGTTAAAGAGTTCTCCCCAATGACTAGACTGGGTCTGGAGCAGTCCATTCTCAGAAATCAGTTGGAAGAGAACACAACAACTGAATCTGAGATGGTAAATGCACCACACAATTCTGACAAGACAATGCAGCTGAAAGCAACCATTTTATTATTATACATGATCTATTACTGGAAATCATAATTCTGAGCCACTGGAGAAAAAGCAGCTGACTGGGACTGAAGTGCCGCTTACTCACAGGAAACATATATAGTCATAATAATATGTTAAACATAAGAGAGAATAAAATCACTTGGAAAAAAACCCTCTGCAGTCAACTGCATTCTGAAATTCCTCTTTACTGGAATTAATATAGAATCCATTTATGAAGACATAGCTGCTGCTCTGATATCTAGACAAGCTCAGTTTTTCCAGTTCGTCTTAGTAATAATGTGTTGTATTGGGCTATGAGTCAAAAACAAAGTTTCTATTACTCAAGAACTTAAGCATTATTTTATATCTAAATACATTACAAAAGTACTCAGAAGGCAACCAAAACCTAAAGAAATACTGTAGTCATGAGACTGATTTGTGTTCATTTCAATGCCTCATTTGTTTTCTGAAGACTTCAGTGACACCTGCTGGTAAGACACAGCCAGTAAATCCCAACAAGTAACAATTTTCCCTAATTCACCAGAAGGCACCAAAACCTACCAGAATGATGTAGCTAATAGCATGCAAGAGCCAGTACCTGAATTCTAACCAAATATTCCCCCTGAGCTCTCAGGTCAGATCTTGTTAGCCAGCATACGTCTCCAGAAACTTACAATCTGAGGGCAAAGACATTTTTATACTGTCCTTACCAGCACACAGGCTGGTACAGGCTTTTTATTCTGAATGGGGATGCTTGCTGCAGCTTTCCCTATACACTGCTCCTTTATGACTATGCCTTGTATACTGGGAAGATGACAACGCACGTGGTTTGCTTACAGTGATTTTTTCTTTAAAAAACAAAACAAACAAACAAACAAAGCCCAAAAAAACCAGCCACCTAAACCAAGTTAAGAGTCACTTTGAGGTTCTCTCCAATGGAAATATGATCGATACCTTACATAGAGACACATCTGCTGTGATATCTTGACAAGTCATAAATCAGCCTCCTTTAATTCCAAAACAGGGACACACCAACCTCTAATCTTCACAACAGGATATCTTATAGCTAAGCCAATATAATTATTTGCAAGAAAAACCCCTCAACATGTGTGTACACATGCACACTTGCTTAAAAAAAGATTTACTCAGAACATAATATTCACCAGTATTGGAAAGCTATTTAAACATTCAACCAGAAGGTTGATATTGAGATGCTTTATATAATGATACCTACACCCCCCCACTTTCTATTATCACCAGTTTCATTTCAGGGAAATGCAAAAAAAGAGGAGTTAAGTTCTTTGCTCTTACAAACAACTTGCACAGCATATCAGTAAGAAAGAATACCTGCAGGCATTACTACATAGAACTACACTAGATCTTAACAGTAAACAGAGCAGCATAAGGAAGGAGGACAAGAGAAAAGTCCACAAGTGTCCATACCAGTGCAGGTAATTGATGGAATAGCTCCAGTGATCCTCAATGTGCCAGCAAAATGATGAGAAACACATCCCTACGTAAAGCCAAGGCACCTTCATGCCAGAGATATCTGCATTGATGTGAGCAAGGACTGACTGTTCCAGAATGGGCATGTTATTTAGGTTCCAACCAGAAAGTGCATACTCCTGCCAAAAAAAAGGAGAAAGCTATGAAAAAGTCAGAAGATGTGCAAACAAGCCTCTTGAGAAGGTAACCCCAGAACAAATGATCCGGCCTATTAATTTCAGTACTAGCCAGTGACTGGTATTCTGCCACACGCTGGCTTCAAAACTGGGATATATTTCCTTACATTCGAGCACTTAACAGAACTAGATGCTGATCTAGGGTCTGATTACTTCAATGCAATCTTAATTCTCTTTGTGTATGCTGCTTTAGATCAGTACCCCAACATGCTTAAGATTCCACTTACCCAAATTATTGTGCTCTATCCAAAATGCACTGACACAAAAAAGTGACTGGAAAATGACACTAACAGATATACAAAGGAAACTAAAGTGAAGTATGGCTTTCAATGAAACCAAGAAACCCAAGTTTTACTATGCCCTTTCCTATGATTTCAGCTTAAGGCCCATTTCACTGCAATATGATTCACTAGCCAATTGCTAGTCAAGAATGATTGGAGGGGGAGTGCACCACCCAATGCCCCATGCTGCCACCGCTCTGCCTCTGGCCCTGTGGGCCCTCCCACCTCGTCTGGCTCCACGTGCCCCAGCCCCCTCCACTGGATCCACCTCCTGTCCCACGCAGCCCACCCCACCCTCTGTGGCGAGGACAGCACTGCAATGACAGTGGGGACTGAGGGGCTGGGCCCTCTCCCACCCCTGTCCCCGGTGTCATGGGGGAGGATGCGGGGACAAAGCCCATGTCCAGCCCCGCCTCCACTTCTTCTCTGACACCATTCCCCCCTCCACGTCGGATCTGGGCCCGTTTCTCCCCTTGCTCCATGGTCACTGCCTGTGGGGAGCAGGGCCGCAGGTCCAGCACCCCTCCATCTGTTCCACTGCCACCACCTGCAGGGATGGGAGGCATGGCCAGTGGCACTGGCCTTGCCCCCACCTCCATTTTCACACATTGCACAAAATGGCGGGCAGGGCCAGCAGCACTGGCCCCACCCCCTCCCCTCCACTGTTGTGACCTGCAGGAAGCAGGGGGTGGGGCCAGCAGCCTGCAGGAAGCAGGGCAGTGGGCGGTCCCCTATGCACCTGCCGTCATGAGGCCCCACCATTCCCCCTCTCCCCTCCAGAGGGACGTCTAAAGCATACACACATATTGAGTAATGTTGAGCTATGGGGTCACTGTGTCTTGAAATGCTCTTGACTTTGCTGGGGCACAGCCCAATTAACTATATGTTAAATCATGGGCTTTGGACTAATATCATGCAGAGTTTGTATTATACATAAGTAGATGCAAAGTGGTGCTAAAACTTGCAGCAGCTTCAAAAAAGGGTAACCTGTATCAATTTTGGATGAACTAAGTCTATGGGCACCCACAGTAATTTGCCTATATGGAAATTACTACAGGCATGTTTATTTCATAGAATCATAGCAAATTAGGATTGGAAGGCACCTCAGGAAGACACCCTGCTCAAACCAGTACAATACCCAACCAGATCACTCCAGTCAGGGCTGTCAAGCCAGGCCTTAATCTCCAAGGATGGAGATTCCACCACCTTTCTAGATAACCTGTTCCAATGTTTTATTACACTCCTAGTGAGGAAGTTTTTCCTAATATCTAACCTAAGCTTCCCTTGCTGCAACTTGAGACCATTACTCCCTGTTCCAGCATTTGCCATCACTGAGAACAGTCTAGCTCTGTCTTTTTGGAACCGCCCCTTCAAGTAGTTGAAGGCTGCTATCAAATCCCCCCTCAGTCTTCTCTTCTTCAGACTAAATAAGCAGTTCCTTCAGCTTCCATATCTATTTTCATTGCCCTCTGCTGGAATCTCTCCAACTTGTTCACATCCTTTCTACAACAGGGGCCCACTATAATTTCAAAGTCAGTGTTTTCACTTTAGCCCCTCACTTCCACATGCTCAGGGAGAGCAGAATCTGACACTGGGGTGGGAAGGGGGGAGACACTGCAGGGAGAAAGAAGTTTGGGGGGATGGGGTCAGAGGGCAAGGGGGCTACCTGACCTCTCCAAATTTATTTTCTCAGCTGTAGCAGTGACAGGGGGCCAAATTCAAGGCAAACCTCCAATAATTAGATCGGGGCAGACAATTATCTTCGCCGGAGGGCTGCTTAGCAAGTTTTGCCAAGCTGTCGAAGGCCACATGAGTAACCCCGCCCCTTGACAGGTGCCCCACCCCTGATTGCCATCTTGGGAC